GTTTAATTCCTCACACAGAATACTCCTACCAGTACTACTACTACTACTAAGAGTAATGATAATAGTTAGAAGAAGCTGTTGATCAGTGAGATGCAGACCCACTTCAGAGGTCCTGGTTCTGGTTCTGATGCTGCACAGTCTGTTAGCAGAGTTACGTACATCAGCACACACAGACTACATGTATACTAGCACTACGTTAATCCTAACAGGTAAACATACTCTGCATGTGTCTGTTAAATACATCCAGAGGAGATTTACCTGTCAGGACCAACGCAGTAGTAGTAGTAGTAGTAGTATACATGTGATCTGTACATGTCTACTACTACTACTACTATGACATTAATCCTGACAGGTAAAAATCCTCTGGAAGTACTTTAACAGATGCATGCAGTCTCCATGTACACTGTGTTTGTCCAGTACTGTGTACATGTATGATCTGTACATAGCAGTACTGCATACAGTGTTAAATACTCTGTAGCAAGTAGCCAAGTGTTTGTTTTACTTTACTTTAACGGCTCCGTTTCCTCCGCGCGTGTAACGAGCCGCCGTAACCGCGTATCGGCATTAACAAGCCGCCGTTTACCGGCTTCGCGCCGGTAAACGCCCCCCTCCGCCCCCCACAGAGAAGATTGCGCAGCAACCTAGCTGGAGAGGAATGAGCGATGTTTGAGCTGCAGAGAGCCTTCAAAAGTAAGAAAACTCGTATTTAAACATTTTGCTTTTCTGTATAAAAAGCTCTTTGTGTCAACGCTGTGGTTGCTGCAGATCAAAAAGTTTTATATCATCGTAAAGAGGAGACTCTGAGCTTTCATTTCATGTGTATATTGTCGGGAAACGTGATTGTGGAGCATGCGCACATCTGGCTGTAATGTGTTTGGAAAGTGGTCACGTCCCGCTGACGGGCCGTGGGAGCAGTAAGGGCTTAAAAATACTGTTCTTAAATATTTTTTAAAAAAATTGGTAGTATATTTTGAGTGAAATCACATTTTGTGTTTTGGCCTGAAAAAAAATGTTGTTTTTCGCAAAAAAGGTCACGTCTCAGAACGTCATGAAATTGTGTCAGGATGTAGTAGATAGTGCAAATAGTGTAATGCATGTGGTAGAAAACACATTAGGAAAGTATTTCCTGAAAAATTACACGTTTCGTGTTTTGGACGGGAAAAAAAAGTCATACTATAGCATGTCGTTTTTCGCAAAAAAGGTCAAGTCTCAGAACGTCGTGAAAACGTGTCAGGATGTAGTATATAGTGCAAATACTGTAATGCATGTGGTAGAAAACAACTTAGGAAAGTATTTTCTGAAACATTACACATTTTGTGTTTTGGCCTAAAAAAAAAAGTCATACTATAGCATGTCGTTTTTCGCAAAAAAGGTCACGTCTCAGAATGTCGTGAAAACG